CTTTGGATCAAAGATCACACACATCCTGTCCTCAAAAATAAGCTTGAAACCATTCTCCAAAAATTGCCCTACGCTCAACAAATGTTGATCAATTTCAATAACAAAGAGCACATCCGTAATTAACTTTGTACCTGAGTAACTTTCAATAGCTATTGTGCCTTTCCCTTTGGCAGGAAGATAATCACCATTACCAATTTTGACTTTAGAGGTTACAAATTTGTCTAACACTTCGAAATTTCCTCATCATGAGTCATATGATTTGTACAACCATTGTCAATTAACCAACTTTCACTTGAACTTTTGCTTGCAAAACATGTCGCCACAAACAATTGCTCTTCTTCTTGTTGTTCTGCAATTTGTGCTTCATTTGATTGTTGTGGTCCTTTCTCTTTGCAAATAATCTCAGAATGCCCAAGTTTATGACACTTTTTGCATCTCATATCAGGTTTTCTCCAACATTTGAAGTGTGGATGGTTTCTCTTCCCGCAATGCTGGCAAGGTGGATATTTTTCACCTTTGTTGTTGTTGCTATGATCAGTTGCAGCAGCTTCTGTTGATGTAGAATAGCTCTTCTTGCCTTTCTGCTTCTTGCCTTTGCTGCCAGGGTTGAATAGTTACCTTGCTTGCAAAGCTCCTTCAACAGCTCCCTCGTTCCTCATCAATCTTTTTTTTTTCTTGTGCTTGTAAAGGGTTTAAAAGTTCCGCCAAACTAATGTTTGATAGATCTTTTGTATTTTCCAGTGAAGCAATTATTACTTCAAACTTCTCAGGTAAAGTAACAAGAAATTTCTGCACAATTCTTTTGTCAGAAAGTTCGACACCAAATAACTTTACCTTATTTGCCAGATTGATAAGCCTATCTGATTACTCCTTAATAGTTTTAGATTCCTTCATTTTTTGTATTTCAATTTTCCTCACCAAGTTTAAGACCTTCATGCCTCGAATTCTTTCATCTCCATAATATTCTTTTTTTTAGAAAATCCCAGATTGCCTTAGCCGAACTAAGAGTCATGATTCTGGAAAAAATAGTACGAGATACTGCAGCATAGAGACACGCCTTCGCCTTCGACTTCCTGATCTTCTTCTCTTTGTGATTTTTGATCTGAGTCATGGTAGGATTGCCTATAAAGGAGGAACTTCATAATCCTCTTCTACTGCCTCCCAAAGATCACATGCATCTATGTAGGCTTTCATCCTGACTGCCCAAACCTGATAGTTTTCTCCATCAAAAATTGGTGGAACAATTGATGAAAAAACACTCTCACCTTCCATAATTCTTTAAGGCGATTTTATGGATGGTCTGATTAAGTGTTTGAGTTTTCACTCAGTTGATAACTCACACTCTCACAAGTCCTTTAAGAACAAAAAAAACTCTGATACCACTGTTAAAGCTATTGACAGCAAAGAGCAGTAAAGTGACTTGAAAAATCTGTATTTTTATTGATCATGAAAGCTTGCTTAAATACATAAAGTCGGTAACTGACTATTAATAAATACTGCTAAAATATGCTAAACAACTCTACTACCAACTAAGAAGGAGGAACAGAACTTGAAGATAGCTAACAAACTTTCAAATAAAAAAACAGAATCCTAAATATCTGCAAAGTCAACACAATCTGGTGTGTATTCCTCAACTTCTGCAGCCTAACTAAGCTCCTGATTTTATTGGCTGCAACAACATTGCAATTTTTTAGGCAACTGCAACATCACACCTCCTCTTTTCCCTCCTGAGTGAAGGAACCTTGCCTTGCTTTCTGTTCATTTGTGAGTCTGAACCCGATGGCTTTTTCAAGAGGTGATTCCAAGACTTAATCAAAGGAAAAATTCGTAGTTCAGGTGACTCACACCTAAGACGTGGATCGATCATGACGAATGGACTTAAATTTTTGTAATGTAATTAATGTAAATATAATAAAAGAGGTAGAGTCAAGATCTCGTTCCTTCTCCACCAGATGAAAGGGATATAAATTCTTACCTATGGGGGTAAGGGCTTGATTTGACCTTGTGTTCTAGCGGGTCAAAGGCGAGCCTTTTCTTGGTTAATAGAAGGCGATTTATTGAATTGAGACTATGTATAATTACAGTCCCATTACTGTCGATAAAGCGAAAGGAAAGCAAAGTTAGGAGGTTCTTGTATTTTGCATAAGTCATGGGATTTCCATGTCGTGTCAATCAGAGATGAATCCAAGATTTAAACTTTATGGGTTCAACCTTCAAGATATTTAGCATTAGACCTATTATATTTTTAAAGTTATGGATTCATATCTATTATTTATTGCAATTTTAGTAATCTTTACTCATAAATTTATGCTCCGTGTCGACATTATTGGGCTCAGTTGAACTCATAACTTTTAGTCTAGTTTTGAATTTATCTGTATAAAACCTACTAAAATTGTTAAAAATATTGATCTATGAATTCATAACTTAAACAAATTGATGGTTCAGCTGCTAGAACTCGAATCATGAACCCATAGGATCAAAATCCTAGATTCGCCTGCGATAAAAAAAGATATGATTATTTTATGTTTGCATGTCGGAGTAAATTGACTAATACCTTTGAATCAGTCTCCTAAATTAATGTAATGAAATTGTAGGCTTTATTAGCTAGTTGCAGTCCATGTAATAATGCCATAAGATCAGCTTGCAAAGCATTAATATAATGTAATGGTTTTGAGAATCCAGCCTTCCATGTGCCAAAGCTATTTCAAGCCAGCTCCTCCTTTTCCCATAACAGCAACAAATGCTCCATCAATATTCAGTTTATAGTAATTGTAATTGGGTATGGGCAATTCCTGGTGGGATTTTGAGAGAATTACTTTTGAGTTGAGGTAGGTGTGTTCTAGTGCCAAGAGATGATATACAGTTGAAAGAATTACGACCCTTGTCACTTGGCCTAACAGCCCAACCGAAAATGGCCCAGATTTGAAGCTCTTACCCTATTTAGTCCATGTTGTACATAACTTGAAAGAAACTTTTTAGTCTTTAGCCCATTATTAAAGACACACTTTTAGGGTTTTTATTATTTTCTTCTTTCTTCTTTCTTCATTCCCAGCACACCAAATTCTCTCTCACCGCCTCTCGCTTCTTTCTTTTCAACCCACATAGATCCCTCATCCTCTCTTAACCTAGCTTTCGTTATTCCCCCTCCCCTACCCCCTACGCAGTTCTGCCATCAATGGCTCGAAGAAGGCTCGGGCTCCTACTCCGTCGTCCATGGTGGCAAGCAGAAGAATATTGAAGATTTTTTGAAATTGGGTCTGACTCTTTGCAGTTTGAAACCTTAATTTCCAATGTCTGGTCGAGCTCCGACAAGAAAAGATCGGAATCCACGATGAAGCAGAAAGCTCCAGACTTGCTTGTTCTTAAGCTTGTTGACCTTCTTGGCTCATCATATGTGTGTTGTCCTCCTTGAAATCTCGAATCTGAAATTGGGTGTATCGTATCTGTGTGTTGAATTCCGAATCATTGGCGCAAAATTGCTAACCTATAGACGAGTTGAATCATCTAATACCTTCTACCACAACTCGAGGCTTGGATAAAAATCATAACGATATAGCAGTTTGTATAAATACTATATAATAGTGTATAATTGTGTATATGAATATACAAACACCTCTTATACACTATTATACATGTTTATACAAGTTATACAGTATTGTATAATTGTGTATAAATGTGTATAATGTTGTATAATTATATATCTTTTCAGTTTATAAGGATGTATATACATTGTTAGTGTGTAAGAGGTGTTGACACCTAATTTTTGACCCTATTTGAATTTATTCCCACTTTTCCCACTTATCTCGTCAATACCTCACTTTCACTTTCCCTCGCCCCCATACCGGTCCCTCATCCCACTATTCCCATATTCCCATCCCACCTTCTTTTGTCCCCCATTTTTCCTTGTCCCCTCTCACTTTATCCATTTCCAACTCACCCATGTTACACTCCAACAACAAGATAACTTTTACCTCTCCCTCTTTTCCTCATTTCTTAAGCTTCTTCAACACACACACACGGTCAGAGGCAGCAAGGGGAGCTCCCCAACTCTCTCCTCTACCCATTTTTTCTCCAAATACACTCACCCTCCCAAAAACGCGAATAGAGTATACCTTCGATATACACTCAATATATCATGGGTATACATGCGCAGAACACCCCCTCCCCAACGGATCTCCTTCTTTCTTTCTTCTCAAACCAGAAAACAATGACCTTTTCACCATCAAGATCAGCCTTGAAGCTCCAGTAATTCAGCCATCAAAAATCTGTTCAAAACACATCAAAATAAGCTTGAAAATAGCTCCGTTTTCTTAGTCAAAACGACCTCTAAAATAGCAGCAAAAACCTGTTGCAAACAGCCATAAAATTCACCCCTAACACCACCCAAAATGAGCCAAAAGATCTGCTGAAATCGGCTAAAAGAAATCGGAACAGATGCGTTTGGATTTTCGTCGCCGGTCGAAGTCGCTAGTCCGGGTTTCCGTTTGAGTCTCCTTCTAGTCCGTATGGTTTTGCTTGGCTTTATTTCATTTTGGAGTAACGATTGTTGAGCTGTATCCATTTCATGAAGAAGGTTGTCTTCTCAGTCTATTGATAGAATATTCATATCAAAGGTTCATTTCCTCTAAATTCTTGTTTGCATTAGATGAATGTTTCAGTTTTGATTTAGATCTGTTTAAATGTTTCATTATTATTTCTTTTGTTTCTGTTTTGATTTATGTGTGTTTGATTAGAATTAGTTTCTCAAGTCACTAAATAATTAGCTTCTCACCTATGTTGTTAGATTAATATGATTTGAGAAATCCATGTTAGACTTGAACGTAAATAAGTCATTATTTTAAAGAAAGTTTTTTTTTAAAAAAAAACAATTTTTATGTTAGCATTTTATTCCTTAGTTGATGTTATGTTTCTAGTGTTCAATTATTTTAATTTCTTGTTTCATGAAACAATATATGGCTTTAAGTTCAAAATTATTATAGTTATCTAATAAAAACTAAAAAATGGAGCCTTACGCTAAAGAAACTATGGTATATTAGAGCCATTGGATCTTTTAAATTTAAAGTGAGATGAATGAGATTTTGGGCTTTTAGATTTAATAAGTCATAGCAAGGATTATGATCCGGGCTCAAATACAAACTGGGTAAAGAATAAAAATCTACACTATATCACTTTTACCACAATAATTCCATAACTCTCGGCTTTGTAATAATCTCAAAGTAGTTTAGAAAAAATAATTGTATATTCGTAGTTTGCTTTAGGCGCGATTAATAAATTATCGTGGCTATGGGAACGGTTCCCGTGGCATAGTTGCGATACCAAATCTCCTAAATTTGGGTGTGCATTTATGTGACCCAAATCCAAATCTCAACGGAGTCGGAATGTATTAACAACCACGGGTGCATTGATTGCGACGTGGTTCGAGATGCATTTTCACGACGTTGCAATTCTATTAAAAAA